CAGGAAGCTTAGTAAAACATCCGTGCACCCACTGCACAGTTAAAGGATTGAACATCATTTCGGCAGCCCATGTACTTGCTTGCTTTCTCTGTCTCCTCTCTCAAACTCACTATGAGAGTTTGAGTCTACCAGTCCCTATATATAACCCATATAATCCCCACCCCCAAGCACACACAACTCAGTGAATCCAAGAAGGGTTTCTGGATTCTCTAGCTTGCTCACTTCTGCACTTCATGGAAATGGAATCATCTTGTCATCTTCTACACTGTTTTCTAACACCATTTTCTGTTTCTGAGATTTGCCCTCCATGTCCTATATGGCTGTCATGTGTTCATTTTTATAGCTGCATGCCCTTCCAACCTGTCCATTCTCCCACTGTTAGATTGTTGTCATTCTTCTGAGGTGAGGTCTTCACTGGATTACAAGTCATGCTTTCTATGTGTCCTTTCCTGTATCTCTGAATGCCCAGGCAAGAGTCCCTGGGACTACATCTGGGAGAGTGGCTGTGTCATGGGACCTGCTGATATTTAGCTTTATCCAGAGAATTAGAAAATTGTTTTCAAAGATGTGTATCATATTGGCTTACGTTCCCACTTAACTAGAACATTACCTAAGGGTTTTAATGTTGGCAATCAAAGAATGCACAAAGTATCACCGTATTGTGCTTCTGGTTTCCATGTGTACAGTTCCTAAGCCCAGGAGTGTAGGGTTTCACCCACACTACAGCTGACTTATACAGTCAGTGTCTTTGTGAGTTTTGAGGTCTCTCTCCTTCCCATGAAAGTATATTTTCCATTTATTTGGATCTTCTTCTGCACACCAAAATTCTTTTGACATTAATCTAGGGTAACCATTGTCTGATCACTGTACACATACACTCTGATAAATGTATTATATTCTATGTAGAGAGTCATTCTTGATAGTAGTATCATTTTGAGTTTTAGGTTGTGTTTTTGTTTGTTTGTTTGTTTGTTTGGTTAGTTAGTTTTGTTATTTTTTTTAAGACAGACAGGGTTTCTTTGTGTAGCTCTGGCCATCCTGGAACCCACTCTACAGACCAAGCTGGCCTTGAACTCACAGAGATCTGCCTGCCTCTGTCTCCAGAGTACTGGGATTAAAGGTGTGCATTACCACACACTGTTTAGGGAGAATATACTTTTTAAAATATTTTCTATGCTCTTTTATTATCGGTGAAGTTTTCTGCTCCTAAAAAATCCTAAATTTTTCGTAAAACTCTTTAAAGTGACCTGCACTCCCCTCTGTTTAGAAATGAAGCTTTTAACAACTTGATTGCATCTGTTGAAAGGTGCCAGGCTTTTCCTGCTTTCCGTTCCTCTCTAGTGTTTCAGGAAATTATATTTTCCTGAGATTGTGTTCACTTCCCCCAAACTTTTATAGTTGGCCTAAAATTGTTAACATTTCCAGTATTGCATGATTGGAGTTTTCTATACTCATATTATTTACTCTTCATACACCATGTTTTTAAAATGTGTTTTCTCTTTTAATCTATTCTTTGAGAAGTTTGTCATATTATTAGTTTTATTAGCAAAAGAAACTTTAGAGCTTTCTGCTTTCTTTCTTCTCTGGTTCATTATTTTAGATTTTAATATTTTTTATTTATTGTTCCCTTTTTGAGGGGGTGGTGGAGGAGAAAAAGCATGCTAGTTTTTATCACCTTGCAACACTGGCTATGCAACTGTTTCCTATTCTTTTCTGCCCTTCTTTTCCTTTCTTTCTTCCTTCCTTTTATTTTCTCTACTGAGATGCATCCTGTTGTATAGCCTTGGCTAATTTGGTATTTGTGACCCTCCTGTCCCTGAGTCCTGAGTGCTGGAACTACAGGCACACAATACCATGCAATCTCCTGCATTTCTTTTTGGCTTTTGCATTTACATATTTCCTTCTAATTATTATCTCTGTAGTTCTATGAAATCTTATATGTAATGTTTTCATTACCATTGGTCTCCAGCTGCTTTTGACCTCGGAGTCACTTAAAAACATCTTTAAATTTCCAAATCCTCTGAACTTCAGCTGCTCATTACAAGGGTCATTATCACAACTCAGTTGTACTGTGCTAAGGAAAATGACCTGTGTGTCAGACATCCTGTGACATTTTTAAGATTTACTGTGTAGCCCATGTATGGCCATTTTGGGTGGCTAGAGGTGAACAAGATCCAGATGCTTCTAATCACTAGGTGATGAGCTCTAAGTCCATCTAACAGCCCACCTGTGTGTCAATCCTTCCCCCTCTTTATTTTTGCAAATATCCCATAACCCTGACAGCTTGATAGTTCCTTCAACCTTGCACTGAAGGGACACGGGGTGGGGCCGAGGGCATGTGAGGAAGGCAGGAGACTCCCTGGCATGATGGAGTTGAAGGTGAAGCAGCAACTTGGGGGCAGGGCGGTGCTTCCAGGCTCTGAACCCAGTTCCCCCTCTGCTCTGGGAGGTGACCGTTCTAGCCTCAGGTAAGTTCTAGTCCATTCCTGCCTGTTGCAACTGGCCCTGTGTGAGATGGGTCAGGATTTGATTCCTTCATTAAGTAGTCATGAAGCTGAGCCCATGCTATGTAGGATACCAGGTAAGGTTCTGGCTTCTGCTCACACATTTACCAGTTAGCACAGTGGGAGCCACCATGACTCCTGTGGCAGCCACAGCCACAGCCACAGCCACAGGTTATTCATGACAGGCATATAGGATAGGACACCTGCTCATGCTGGGGACAGCATGCCACACCGGAAGGGCAAAGGCTCCATTTTTGGGGATGTCAAGTAGTCATTTCAGGCTCTAGCCTAGAAGGTATCTTAGCACTCAGTGCTCTGCTTTTTTTCTCCAGTCTAGCAGCCAGCAGGCTTCAATTCTCTAGCTCAGGGAGTGAAGGCAGATGAAAAACAGAAGTTGCTGCTTCCCTTCCTGGGTAGTACCAACAGGCCGTGCCCCTGGGAGGAGGAGCTGGTGGCAGGCAGGTACCTGTGTTAGCTTGCCATGTGGAAATATGTGAAAATTGGTTGCCAGTAATGGAAAAATGTATGTGTTTACAACAGTATAGAACCATGTGATCCATCTTAGTGCTGGGTCTCCTGGAACTGGAGTTGAAGGTGGTTATAAGCCGCCATGTAGGTACTGGAAACTGAACCTGGGTCCTCCGTATGGGTAAGTTCTCTTATCCATCAAGCCATCTCTCAAGCTCCTATGGTTTCTTATAGCACTCTCAAAGTAGGTGAGGTATTTTTCCTAGACACCATTAATGAGAAGGGTTAGTTTTAGGTTCATACATGTTTAGAGAAACAAATGTGAGTATTTTAATTATTGTGGTCCAGGGGTCTTGGGCGTGCCAGGCAAATGCTCTACCGCTGAGCTGCATTCTTGCTTTTTATTTTTGAGGTAGAGTCTCACCACGGAGCCCAAGATGGCCTGAAACTTTCTAACCTTCATGCAGCATCACACTGGACTGTATAGTAAGACCATATACACATGTTAGTGTGTGTGGAGGTGGGAGCATAGGACATTGCTAAGACACTAAAATTCTGCAAAGGACATTGCTCATGATGCAGCCTCTTCTCCTTCCTGCCCAGAAGGCGCAAAAGTGACCACGCCAAAGGATCTAATGGATGTCTGTCCACCATGGTAGTCTGCCATCTCTGTTTAGACATCTGGGTCTCTGATAGTTGTCAAAGGCAGGCGGGAGGGTGACACAGGATGCTGGCTGACTGGTTAGAGCCCAGCTCTCACACACAACCTCTGTGTAGACTATGGTTTGGTTTCTTCCTCTGTCAGAGTCTGGTCAGTCAGTATTAATAGTCAACACGGGAGGCTGGGATGGGGTTAAGTTGACTGTCACATCCTCAGAGAGCACCAGCCCAGGAAAAAGTGCTGCTGTAGATGGTGGCCACTTACAGGTTTGACAGGGGAGCCCGATGGGTGGCTCAGAGTCTCTCAGCTCAGTTGGAGGTTCTAGACTTGTCATTGTGTGGACTTAGCATTTTGCTTACTCAGTATACTCAGAGCCTCGAGTCAGCTGGCTGAGCCTGGAAAGGCCACCCCAAGTGAGCCCTGAGAACTTGAACGGGAAGCCCGCACTCCCGGCAGTGCAAAAACGTGCAGTACACTGACTGCAGAGATGTCACCATGGGGGTGACTATTATGAGCAGGAATCAAGGATTTTCCTTCATACTCCTGCCCTTGCAGAAGCTAAATACCCTTAAGTGTGAGTGGTGTTCACCATTTATCTATGAGCAGATCCTGCAGTTGGCTATATGGTAAGGAGCATGCATTCTTCTTTATCACAGGTTCCTTGGAAAAATCATTTTGACACCCATGTTTTATCACTTTGCAATCCTTATCTACTTTTGTGGGGGCATCTGAAACTGTTTTTCAGCTGGGCCTGGTTGCACACATCTGTCTGATAAAGGCCTTAGCAGGCTATCATTCATTTAAGTGCAACCCGGGCTACACATTGAATGAGCTGTCTCTGGGAAAAAAACAAAACAAACAAACAAACTGGGCATTAAGGATATAGCCCAGAGGTAGTCTTTGCCTCATGCTTGAGGTCCTGGGTTTGTTCTTAATAGCACAAGCAAAGAAAACAGCAACAGAGCCTGTCATTCTGAGAGGACAATAAAAGGCCTCCTCAGGCTCAGAATCTCCCTGGTGTGAATGTGAGTTGGGGCTGAAGGGGAGGTTGCAGTGGTGAACACTACAGTTCCAGCCCCAGGGCTCAGAGGCTACTCAAGGTGTAGCTTTTTTGACATAGCAGGTCAGGTGATATCCTCCTATAAGACCTTCCAGCAGGGGTCTTTGGGCAAGAAACCCACCTGAAGTGATACCTCAGTCTTAGAGCTCCAGGGAGGGAACCAGAGAACTTACCAGAGCAACTGCTTCAGCCTCCAGTGGTTGACTCTCACCAGTAAACTCCCTCCCACCAGCAGCAGGCAGAAGCCAAGTAACAGGGACTTCCCTCACCCCTGTCTGCAAAGGGCCAAGAGGAACCCACAGCCTCTGACTGTGGCTGTAGCTTCCTTCCTTCTCAGTCACGTGGGGCTTGGCTCTCATCCCCGGAGTCTGGGGTCATGAGGCTCACTTGCCTGATCTCTCAGGAGCCAGGACCGAACACCACAATGAGCTCTAGGCTCCCAATACTGAGAGCCCTCCTCTTCCTCCTGGGTAAGTGAAGGCAGGTGATGGAGATGGGGTGGTGATGCCAGCCTGGGAGCCTAGGGAGCATAAATTGCAGACCTAACCGCCTTGGGCCTCACCTCCCAATTGTGGCACACCCCTCAGGATAGACGGATGGATTACTGACTTAGGTGGGATAGTGAGCAATGTCTCCGTTTCACTTCAGATGCTACTTACAAATGTTGGCTGGGCTGAGGGAGGAGAGGAGGGGCGGTGCAGAGAAAGAGTGCCAGGCTAAGAGCAATCTGCTTCCACTGGCTTTGGCTTTGTTCCTTGCAAACCGGGATGTGCTTCTGACACTTGGAGTTTCAGCTTCTGACCTAATCAAAAGGGAGATAATAATGTTTACTTCATAGGCTTGCAAGAGAATTGAGTTAAACTTAAGTGACCCAAATCAAGATAATTGCATAGCACAGATAGGCAGGTGGTGCCGCCCTGTTCCGGGTGACTGTGTGTGGAGTGGACCCAGGAGCATCTTTAGTTTTAGAAATCACCTTTATTGCTAAGCCCTGAAAGGTAGAAGGAAGGAGAGAGGCAGGGGTAAAGTGGCCCCAACAGGAAAGGAAAACCAAACCAAACCAAAACACCAGGGATGCATAGAGAGGAGGAAATGTGGAGAATTGGAGAGAAGTTAGGAATTTGCGGAGATGTGGACGTCAGTGATGGGGAGAAGTGCTGCTTTGCAAACGCTTGTCAGCTGTTATTTCTTTGGACGGCAGCTTTGCTCACATTTATCAGCACACCACTGTTGCTTCTTTTGGGAAGGCAGCAGAAGCCTTTTCCAGAAAACTAAACAGAACTGAAAGCCAAACAGACTGTCTCCTAATGGTCTCCTGTCTCTGGAGGTGTGGCCTGAATCATGAACACAGACAAAAAGATTCCCACAGCTGGCCTCCATGGGTGCCTGTGCCAGGCAGGGGCGAAACAGACCTGGGTCTTGGGAATTAGCATCTCAAGATGGACACTGCTCATCTACACAGGGACAGATGTGGAGCCCTGACTGTGACAAGGCTAAGATAGCAGGAGCAGCAAGCTCAGGGTAGCTGAGCTCAGTGTTCCCTCCGAGCAAAGGGCCAGAAGCCAACAGAGTCTCTAATTTCTGTTTTGGGCTAACAGAAATACAGACTGGTCTGTCCCAGGGAATTGGAGAGGGAATTGTGGATTTAATAAAAACCAATGAAAAAAAAATCAAATTGTATAAACAGGCAATTCATTGAAGAATTGCTGCAGACAATGAGCTTTGGCGATGCTCAGGCTGACATGAAGTGTTGACATGAGGCATGTTTTGGTGCTTTGAGGATGGGAAGTGCTGGTCAAAGCTTACCTTGGCTCAGTCAGTTCCCACAGCTGTATGGAAAGCCACCTGGGGTACCTTTTTACACTCCGTGCCTTTTTATACTCTGTGGCCCAGGCATTCACCTTTTAATGCTTTCACGAAACGGTGAGGATCGTGGGGTTAACTTCCAGAATGTTACTCTTTGCTCTGCTCTTTGCCTTCCCTGAGTCAGTCTCCTCATCTGTCATTTGCAGCTAATGACCTATCCAGCTTCCCATGGCTGTTGAGAGAATTAACCCTGCTGCCTGCCACCTTCTGTCCTCTTAGTGCAGCGTGTGGTGCATGGCATACACCCAGGGTCAGCCATTAGAGGGACTTGCCGATTCAACTTCACAGAGGCATTGGGGGGAGGGAGGGGGAGAAGCTGTTCACAACTTTTGACTCAGAAATTCCAGGTCAAAGAATTTACCCTAATGAAATAATGGGGTATTGCTTCCCAAGGCATTTAACAAGATGTTGCTTGGCTCAGAAGGGATCACAGCGAAGGGATTGCCCAGACCAGATTGGTCAGTGCCATGTCTATGGGAGCCATGTCTACGGGAATTGTCTTGTTGTTGATAACATGGGAGGGCTCACTGTGGGTAGTGCCAACCCCAAGCAGGTGGTCTGGGTTGTGTTAGCAAGCTGACTGAGCATGAGGTAGATGCTAGCCAATAAGCAGCTTGTTAGTAAGTTGGTTGTGGTCATGGTGTTTATGAAGCAACAGAAGATTAAACTAGAACATTATTTGAAATGTGTTTGTGTGTGTGCCTTAATGAAAAGGTAGTTTTAGCTTTCTGTACGTAATATAAACACCCCTAATATTTGCTTTAGAGTCTTTCGTCTACAACCTCTTTGCAATGGTGATCCCATTCAGTTCCCACTGAGTACACATGCGAACTGCCTGTTCTGGGCCGTGATTCTGGATTGGTCTATATTAGTACTGTCCTGCTGGTTTAATAAAGAGCTTAGGAATCTTTGTTGCTTACCTGTAAGGTTACACATTCTGCTAGTTGCCATTAGATTCTTATTAACTGTGAGAGTTCCTTTCTATTTCTCTGGGACTTTTCCTCAGAAGCATGGTGAAGGTCACTCCCTGAAAGTCAACCCCGTGTGCCTCTTCCCTAAGAGCTGTCCCATGAGCCTCATCCACTTCTCAAATACAGCCCCAAGGGTGCTGCTGTCCCTGTAGTCATGCCCGTTTGGACAGATGTGGAGAAAGAAGCACAGGATGATGAATCAGCCTCTCAGAGGTCACACAGCAGGAAAGTGGCAGAGCCCAGGTTCAAAACGGGACATTTTGATGCCCCAAAGCCACATTTTCAAAGCTAGCAGCAAAGCACCTCTCCGCTCAGTACGGAAAGGGTATCTCTCTCATGGTTTTTAAACTGCCTTGTTCAAATTTCCATTTCACACTTAAAGGAAGGCACAGACAGTAAGGAGTATGCATATACTCAGAGGGGTTGACCGTTGAGAGCAGTTCACCCCATTTCCTTTATCTGTACTTCTTTCTATATGTCTTATTCTATAAACCATTTGAGGCCAAACTGTGTAATATCAAAGGTCCTCTTTATCCCCTACATTCATCAATGTGTGTTTCCCAAGACTAGAGACAGGCTCAGCAGTGTGGATGGAGCTGGAGGGACATCACATGACACAAAGAATGCCAGGTACACAGACCCGATACCACGTGCGATCACCTGCAGGTTCTGACAGAGTCGTTGTAAAGGGCAGAGCAGTGGGTAGGGTTTACAGAGGGGCTGGATAATACACACAATGCATGTCCGTGGGAGAAAGTAGTGCTGGTGTTCCTCGATGCCACAGGATGACTGCAATCTGTAGAGTATTTCAGCATGGCTAGGCGAGTACCAAGGTTCCAGTACAGGGATATGAGAAGGGGGAATGGGACTGCTGGTTTTCCCTACCCGACCATTGCCCATTGTACATCGTGTGTGTGTTCAATCATTATGCTACCATTGCCCATTGTACATCGTGTGTGTGTTTAATCATTATGCTATGAACACATGCAAACATAACGTGTTCAATCTTTATGTTGTATTCTATAAGTGCATGAAAACATAAGTTGTTGATTGGAAATGAAGACAGAATATAACCCCTTACACAGCTATAATACGGTCAATAGTCTTAGGAATCATAGTGCTAATAAAATAACCATCTGGGAACCACGTTTCAATATTTCCCACAATGATTGTTGCCACCTTGACTGTGGGGCAGGTGCTGCCCAGGGTTAGCCTCATCACTTTAGCCTTCTACAGGCTGGGGTATGCATGGCCTTGGTTTTCAGGCCAGTGATGTTTTTGAAGTACATAACTTCCTGTTAAGTAAGCCCCACCCTGCGATAACAACCCTCATTTGGGAGTTGCCTGATAGTCCCTAACGATTACACTTAAGTGATTTTTTTTTCTACCAAAAAACTACATGGTCAATGCCCTTATCGTCAGCTTTGTGGGTGGAGGCAAGACTGCATGAAAAAGGCTGAGGCAGTGTCGACCTTGTGATAAAAGACTCCAAAACTAGGTCTTGGACTTCTACTTAAATACCAGGTGATCAATATTTTTAAGTTGAGCTAAAATATTGATCAAGGATAAGCACTGGTAACATCTAGTAAAAGTCCTCAGCATTTTATTAGAGGTCTGTTTCTTCTGAAAGTGCTGCTGTAAGAAATATTTCCATGGACTTGAATTCCAGCAGAAACGTCAGCCATCTGTCTTTGTTTTAATGGTGTTGGAAAGCATCTGCAGAATTCTATGTATTATTATAATCATGAGAATAAAAGGGATACAATATCACTTTAATTATGTTCCAGGGCCTAAAACACCCTTCACTGGAGGAGCCAGGGTTATTGAGAGAGAGAGAGAGGAGAAGCTTTTCCCCCCACTGCCTTAATTTATAATGAAAAGATGGCAGAGGCCGGAGTAAAGAGAATTAAATTCGTTTTTATCTTACAAAGTCAAAGTCATCACTTTATTCCTTGGCTCTCAGTCCCTGAGATCTTTGTGCGAATCTTTGCTGACAGCTTTTCCCCAGTTCCAGTCTCTTGCCAAGACGATGCTTTAGATTCTGCGGTGAGGAAGATGTGTGAGAAGGAACCAGTGTGTTCATTCTCCTTTGTGCCTATCAGATCATCACGAGGAGATGAAAGGAAACCATCCCCCAGGGCCTCTTAGCCAGTGGGCAGGCAGGTGGGAAGAGAGGAGCCTGGACAGACGGGCAGGGCCAGGGACTCCACAGAGCAAGATAGCAGGACTAGATTTAGGAACTGATCCCTTTTTCTAACTGGGTTACTCCCCAGCTTCAATTTTTTTTTTCTTCTTTGTGGTTGGTTGCTGGGTTTTACTGTTGACTTCCAGGCGTTCTTAGAGTCATCTAGATGTTCGTGTGCCACCTGCCAAATCTGTGGCTGAAGAATGGGTTGGATATTGTATAGACTCATTTTTTTGTGTTTTAATTTTTAAGTTAAAAATTTGAGACAGGGTCTCAATATGTAGCTCTGGCTGGCCTAGGAACTGCTAAGTAGAGAGACTAGAATAGTCTTAAACTCACATAGAGATCCACTTGCCTCTGCCTTCCAAGTACTGAGAGGAAAGGCAGGACCACATCTGGCTTTGTTTTTGTTTTTATTTAGTATTTCTCTGTGTGTCTACATATGTGT